AATCAGCCAATCAAGCTCCATCCTCAATCACCAATTCAAATTGGGAATACTATGATGTGCTAGGAGGTCCAAAAAGAAAAAGGCAAAAGTTGGCGCATGCGTGAAAACTTAATGTAGGAGATACATTGACATGGAGGTGGCGCTCAATGCGCTCAGTACAGGCTTCCCGTAACTAAAATGTATCTCCTAATCCACGCAGGTATATACAAGAAATACCTCTAAGAGAGTATAGGGAGACCCAAAAGTTGCCCAAACCCTCATATATTGCCCTCAATTATTCCAGGCACATTAAAACTGGCCATGTAGTGTAGATTGGCACCAAAAGGAGGGGGTATATAGCGAGAGGGTGGATCAAAAAATGAAATAATACACAAATAAAAAACATAATAGTCAAACTGTAGCCCATATTATATCAACTCCATATCAATCGTATTTCAATCAATAATAGACATTTGTGAGTGGAAAAAAGAAGAAAGAATATATATGTCAAAAAGAGTACCCAATTAAACCTACTAATCCAACTCATATACTATTATGAATACATAAATAAATAAAACCCACTTCACTAGAAAGATTCTATTAGTCTACTCAATATAGAGCTTTCTCAAGTGGGTAGTTATTCATTCTACTCACAGTAAGACTTAATTATGTCTCAAACCTTAGAGTAGAGTCATCATAGAAAGGAGAAGATGAACAGCAAGGAGATAGGGAAACTTAATTTCAAAAAAACAAACAAAGATCTTTAATTCAAAGTAATAGCCTTAAACAATATATACAAGTGATCGACAGAATAGTAATTATGGCTGGCATGTGAAGTATAATCAAAAAACGATCAGAAGACAATGACCAGGCAGACAGTGAGTCGAGATTCCAGATAGCTAAATAAACGGTGCGAATGAAAAACCTTCATTCAAACCTAAAGGTTGAAGCATCTTCAGCTCATATATCCACGTCTTGCGTTTCTCTTTACTAGTTCTAGTCCACAGAATCGGAGATTACTCGCGTCTCCATCATGACATTCTTTTAAGCGTCTGGAGATAGGTGTCTCTTAACGATTCCTAGTGGACCTTACGTGTTCCTTGATCCTCTCTCTAAAGGCCCTAAACGTTTTTCCGACGTATTTACGTCCACATGAACATGTGAGCAAGTAGACAAGGCCCTTTGTACTACAATTAAAGAAACTCTTAATCTTAAAGGCACCCTGTCCTGTGCTATCACTCACTGTCTTCGAGCCTTTAGAGATATACTTACAGGCAACACATCTACCACAGCCGTAGGTAGCACAGGGGGGAGTTCCCAACCAAGTGGAACGTACTTTCGGCTTAATGTCTATTATTGATTGAAATACAATTGATATGGAGTTGATATAATATGGGCTACAGTTTGACTATTATGTTTTTTATTTGTGTATTATTTCATTTTTTGATCCACCCTCTCGCTACATACCCCCTCCTTTTGGTGCCAATCTACACTACATGGCCAGTTTTAATGTGCCTGGAATAATTGAGGGCAATATATGAGGGTTTGGGCAACTTTTGGGTCTCCCTATACTCTCTTAGAGATATTTCTTGTATATACCTGCGTGGATTAGGAGATACATTTTAGTTACGGGTAGCCTGTACTGAGCGCATTGAGCGCCACCTCCGTGTCAATGTATCTCCTACATTAAGTTTTCACGCATGCGCCGACTTTTGCCTTTTTCTTTTTGGACCTCCTAGCACATCGTAGTATTCCCAATTTGAATGGGTGATTGAGGATGGAGCTTGATTGGCTGATTGTCCGCTCGATGAATCAGGAGGAGGGAAGACTACCTCTATATAGGGGGTAAGTCGGAGTGGGGACTTTTCTTATTATATTTCCTTGCCCTTGAGAAAGGCGGTCTATCCGCCGAAACGCGCGTTGGGCTATTTTTGTTTGATACTGCTACACTGTTACTCTTAGTATCCCACGTTTTGTTCTGTGGACTGTGTCCATCTACTTTCCCTAGTGACCGGCTGGTCTCTCCTACTTAGCTGGGGTATCTATTACCTATTATTTTGAGATATCTACAGTGGAAGGGTCCCCTTCTCCATTTTGGGGAGCTTTCTGTGGACTATTATTGTTCTTTCTATTTTTTCACTACACTTCTCTCCCTGTCCTTTCGATTTCTCATCCTGGGATATCCCTGGGGGGCTCGTTTATGTATTACTATATAGTAATCACCATATTTGGACTTTTTAGGGGATTAGTGTGGTTTCTTTGACTGGATAATATATTAGGACATAGTTCACTGACTCCGTGATTCCTCATTACATTCAGTGGGTATATATTGATACATTGTTTTATAGTAAGTCTGTTACAAGTACTGCAACTTTGTTTCAAACCCCTACGGGCTAATGTGAGTGTTTGCTGGTTTTATCCAGCCCATTTTTCTTTGTGGGATACTTATTCTTGTGTAGCTTATGTTTTATCTACAATAAAGTTTTTTCTTTTTTTCGTTTATACTGGCCTGGTTATATATATTTTTTGCAGGGGTAGCTCCAGTGGGAGGGTTCCTCGCGTTGTGTTACGGGAGGACTCCTCCTTACTATTTTTTTTCTGTTTTTTGTTAATGTGTATATAGGGTTATGCCCTTTCTGCTACCCCTTTAACCGATTATTTATACCACTTGGTGGGGTTTGCTGACCCTATCGAATGGTATAATTTTTGTTGTATAAGTCTCAGATATGTAATAATTTCAGTGTTGGGTCTTGTAATTATAGCGGTTGCAGATTATTGCATATCTGTCTATAATGTTTTAGAGCACATGCAAAAACCATGTGTCCAAATAAAATGTATTCTAAGCCTTACCTCACGTCCATTAATATGCCGGTGTTTACTGCATTTATGTCACATCACCCGTCTAAACACTTGGTGGACTTTCTTATCTCTGGTTTAACAGAAGGCTTCCACACGGGTATTCTACACATACCATCCGGGACTCTGGAATGCCCTAATCTACAATCCGCACAACATAATCCCACAGCTGTTGACACTCTCTCAGCCCAAGAAGTCGCTGAGGGTTTCATATTGGGGCCTTTCAAAGCTCCTCCATTCAAAGAATGGCGTACTAACCCCATTGGTATGGTCACAGGGAAATCTTCCCTTAAACAGAGACTCATCATTGACTTGTCTGCACCACAGTCATTGCTAACCCCAGTCTTAATTCCCTCATACCCTTCTCCCTGCAATACACCACCATAGATCACGCCATTACAGCAATCATACAAACAGGGGTCGGAGCCTGGCTTAGTAAGACCGATATCACAAACGCCTTTAAATTGCTACCAATCCACCCCACACTGTGGCACCTGCATGGAATCAAGTGGGCCGGGAACTACTATTTTTTCTCCCGTTTAATTTTTGGGTCCAAAAGTAGCCCAGCTATTTTCGACACATTTGTCAAAGCATTGTGCTGGTTACTATTGAACATAGCCAGATGCCTTACGGTATTACATTACCTGGACGACTTCTTACTGGCTGAGGAAAATACTTCCCCTTCTTGTAGCCTCAAAGCTACCACCAAGCTATTCGAGCAACTAGGTGTACCAATCTCCCCTAAGAAAACGGAGGGGCCATACACGATTATCACTTTCCTGGGTATTCAATTAGACTCAACCACAATGCAAGCAAGCCTACCACACGATAAGATAGAGAACATTCTTACTTATATCAACTACTACCTTCAGCTCGGTACTTGCAACCGCAAAGAGCTACAGTCCCTGTTGGGGTCACTAAATTTTGCCATGCGTATCATACCTCAAGGCCGCTCCTTCATATCACGACTCTTGTATCTTTTTCCACGCTTCCTACATGACACACTCAGGTTGTCCTTAGATAACCAAGCTACGGCAGACCTACGCATGTGGAAGGAATTTTTAACGACTTGGAATGGTAAAAGTATGTTCCTCCCTCAATTGACTGACTCATCACCTACCATTTGGTCAGATGCAGCATCTACCACAGGTTTTGCAGCAATTTTTGGGAACAAATGGCTTTGGGGCAGCTGGCCTACAGCAGTTCAAGATTTGGAAGGTTTTTCCACTACCTCAGCTCTCTTTGAGATCTATCCCATTGTGGCGGCTGCCGTAGCATGGGGTCATTTATGGGCAAACATGCCAGTTCGTTGTTACTCAGACAACCAGGCAACCTGTCACATCATCAACAAAGGTCGCTCAAAATCCCTTACGATCATGAGATTTCTGAGGAAACTCACGTGGTTGGCAGCTTGTCATAATTTCTTTATATATTGTTTCCATGTTCCAGGAATATGTAACACAGCTGCTGACAGTTTGTCTCGTTTTAAATTTCAGGCATTTCATCAAGCACTCCTGTCAGCTGCGCTCACAGCCACAACCACTCCAACATTTCAACAACTAATACTGGACTAGACATCATCATGCATCATAGCAGGACACTGTCCCAATTAGCACTATCAAAGAATACACACAAAACATACGACAGGGCTTTTACACTATTCAAAAGATTCCTTTTGGAACATAACATCATGCAACCATTTGTTATGACATCCTTTTTGGGTTTTGCTTCTTTTTGCCACCTTAAACTTAAAATGTCATATAACACCATCAAACTTTATCTCACAGGCATTCAACACCATATGCTAATCTTACAACCTAACAACACTAGTTTCATGGCCTCTCACCAGATCAAGACCATACTCAGAGGCATTCAGAAATCTGAACCCACACGTACATCACAGAGGCTACCCATAGATAACCATATCTTCAAGGCATTATCTAACCTGCTTGATTTAAAACCTTTTGACACCAATACAAATTCTGTCATCAAAGCAGCAATATACATAGCTTTCTATGGATTTCTAAGACCTAGAGAGTTTACTACAACCAACATAACACACTCTGCTCCTATTCTCCTCTATTCCCACTTAACAAAACACATGGATCATTACATCCTAACGCTACCTCACTCCAAAACCAGCCAGCACATACCAGTAAACATTCCATACTACCCCACGCACAACAAGTGGTGCCCCGTCAAGGTTCTGGATGCATACCTACAGCATCATATTTCAATACCATCACAACCATTACTACTATTACAAAGTTCAGTACTCACCACTACAACCTTCATGACCTACGTCAGGTCTTTGCTCACTCAACTGGGCCTCAAAGCAGCTAACTACTCAGGGCACTCCTTCCGCATAGGAGCAGCGTCCACAGCCTCCAGTGTCAACATTCCAGTCCATGTTATAAAAACACCGGGGCGCTGGAAGTCATCCGCTTACTCACGATACATACCGAACCCAGTACAAGAATTAAGGGATGCTTTCAAAAACATGTCTGTTTGATATATGTATCTGTATTGGTTGTCTGTAATAAATTTGATTACTTAATTTTTGTCCTCTTCTTTCTCAGGCCTACCTCATCGTCGGTTCCGGCACAGCACAACCAACTTGCCCTTTTTACTATCCTACATTTAATTATGGTATTTTACTCTGTACTATCATGAGCACCTAACACAAGTATTAAGGCAATTTGCCTGGATTTGTGGGAGGTGCTTGGTATCCACTCCTAGCCTACTTAAGGCACACCCCTTACCTTGCTCCTTACCGTTCGAGGTCAGCGTTGAATGACCCTCCCACCACACCACATTTTAACATTTATTTCCTTTCTATTTTCTTTTTCCTGGGTAGGCCCTCTTCTTTCTCAGGCCTACCTCATCGTCGGTTCTGGCACACCACAACCGACTTGCCCTTTTTACTATCCTACATTTAATTATGGTATTTTACTCTGTATGAGCACCTTTACTCTGTATGAGCGCCTAACACAAATATATATATATATCGGAGAATGTGGAAATATCACTTTTATTTTTTTATTTTTTTATTGATCTATGACACAAAAGTAAGACATTACAACTTCACGTCAGATACATAACATTAACCCATACGGTTAGATAAACCCTGAAATGCACTTTCGTTCTATTAATAATTTCAATGGAAACTAGAAGAAAAAACAGAAAAGCAAAAAAATAAAAAAATGGTTGTACCATGCAAAGAGGAAGGTGAGCTGTACTTGTTTCCTATTACTCTCTGTGCTGATTTAGCGTTTCAATGTTAAAGTAACAGTTTGGGACTTATTACCGCCATAAACTCCACAATAAATTATATTAATTCAAGTAAAAACCCTTTTCCAATACATTGGTCATTTACTTGATTATTGACTTCGTTCCAACAAATCTTATCTACAGATTTCCATTTTCTTGCTATGATAATCTTCATAGCTAACAAGATCTGTATGGTCAGGTATCTCTCTTTTAATTCTATTTCTCCCAACTCCATATGTATAAAATGCTATTTTCGGGGATGGAGTTAACCTTTTATTTCAGTTTATCCAAAATAAATTCAAATATCCTTCCAAATGTCAAATATTACCTTACACAACCACCATATGTGTAGGTAGCCACCTTTTTGTTCCCCACACCGCTAGCATGGTGTTGAGTTTGTGTCATCAAATTTTGCTAAAGTAGATGGTACTAAGTACCATTTGTGAATAAGTTTAATATGAGTTTCCTTTAATTTTAAGAAGTGCGTAACTTTCCTTGTATCCCTGATCCCTGTAACTCTTTGTGCCATGATGTTATTGATCTTGAATTTGGTCCTTGCTTTAACTATCTTATGAATTAAACTGATTACACCTCGTTGGTATTTATTATTAAAGATTTTGTTTAACTGTATATTAAGATCATTTCCATCATCCCTGATTAGATGTACTCTAATTTAATTATTGATTTGCATCAAAGAATAGTATTGATTGTTTGGAAAAGCTAACGCTTTGTTTGATCCCCGTTAAGCAAATCCCTGATTTTGATTTTATATTTATCACAAGGAGATTTCAAATCTAAATTATGAATGTTATATTCCATACTTGCTAGTGTTGTGGATTTATGCTAATGTATCTTTCTGTCATGGGGTGTCGGTCTGAAGACCGGGACCCAGTATGCCTGATGTTGGTAGAAGTCACAGTGTGGAATAGGACAAATGCCCCAAGGATTGTGCGGCCAAATACCAGGGCCCTGATGCAGCTACTGCTGATCCCAGGTGTTTGATATCATACATATCTCCCAAGATCTGCATAGGGAGGCTCTGTAGCAGATATGTATCCAGTACTTGAAAAAAAAGGCAGGACTAGAGTAACTCAGAAGCGAAACAGGACAGAAAGCAGAACCCAGAACATGTACACAAGACATGAGGGAAACAAGAACAGGACATGGACAGGGTAGGACAAGACTGTACATAAACTTGGAATACAAGACAAGATATACAAGGCAAAACAAGAGGTCAAATAACAAAGTCCTATATATGCAATAAACATTGGAGATTTAGACATACATAAATGGCCAAGATGTATGCAGTCCACCACTGTGTCAAAGTACTCCAACTACGGTGGGTCCTAGTTATGCATAACTAAAAGTACAATAATAAAACACACAGTACTTACCTGCAAGGAAATGAGCAGAGGAAAGAGACCACTGCTAACAGAGAACACACTGAAACAAAATGGGTAAACGGCAAAGGAACGGGTGTGGCAACAAAAAACAAACATTTAAAGTTATCCAGGAGACTGGGAATTCCAGGAACAGAATACAGGAATGAACCCAGAAAACCCAGCATAAAGAAAATCAGACATAGAATAGAGAACAAGAAAAACTGAACAAGAATTGTAAAGAGTACTGGATATCCGAAACCATGACCAGAAACAATCCACAGGCAGGAACAGGATGTGACACTTTCATTGAGGTATTTTCTTAAATAAAGTTCAAGCTTTGATAATGTTGGTTAGTATACTAGAATTACTATTCATAGTTGGTATTTTTTTTTTATCTCATTATGATAAAGCCATAATATATTTTCTAGATTTTTAGATGTTATGTTTAGTATATGTGATTCTATGAGATACCAATCTTCCAGTTTATAAATGTCTATCTGGAATTTATGAGCTTGAGTGATCATCACCACATTGGCATAATTCTCTAACTTTGGGATACCTAGCCCTCCTTGCTGGGCGCTGCTATATAACGTGTTTCTAGAAATTTTTGCTTTTTTCCCCATCCATATAAAGTTTTCTGTGCTTTTTTGAAAGTGTTCACAGTAACTGTCAGGCATTTTAAGAGGGATAATGCGTAACAAGTATAGCCATTAAGGAAATACATAGGCTTTTATTGTAGTCATCCTGCCCATGCATGAAACAAACAGATTCTTCCAATCTTTTTCATGTTTTTTAATTAGAGGTAAGTAGTTGGCTCGCCAGAGATTAACTATATTCTTCATTAAGGTTACCCCCAGATATGTAATGTCAGTCCGAGTCTCATAAAATCCATATTGTTTTTGAACTTTTTCTAGGATTTCAGTTTTTACCGGTACGCTCATAGCTTCCAATTTGTTTAAATTTAATTCATAATTAGACAAATCTATCTCTATTTCTTTAAACAGGTGCGTTAAGGATGTTTCTGGGGAGCCTACAATAAGTAGTACGTCATCCACATACATGACTAGTTTACATTCTGTTTTACCTATTATGCCCTTAATGTCTGCATTTTTACGAATATAATTAGCAAAGGGTTTCAAGGACATAACGTCTAGTATGGGGGCTAGGGGGCAACCTTGTCTCATTCCATTCTTGATGTTAAACCAATTAGAACAGATTCCTTGTCCTACCACTCTGTCATGGCACTATATTCAAATCCATCTGCCAGAGTCAATCAGGCTATCGCCAATATTAAGTGCTCTCACAGTTTCTTCCAGAAACAGCCAGTTGACCCTGTCCAAGGCCTTTTCCGTGTCAAGAGATAGCAATATCATCGGGATCTGTTTTCCTTTTGTTTGTTCAATTAAATGTACTATCTTTCTAATATTACTATTTGCTTGATAAGTTCTAATAAAACATGTTTGGTCTTTTCCCATCATAGGGCAATTATTATATTAAATCTTTCTGCCAAAATAGCAGAGTAGATCTTTGTGTCTGCGTTGATTAGTGATATTGGTCTATAATTTGATTCTTATTTTGTTTCCAGATGGGAAGAATGGATGCTTGAATCAGCTCTTTGGGTAATCTTTTAAGTTTACGAATTTTGTTAAAGACCTTTGTCAAGTGAGGTGTCAGTAATGTTCACTAGTGTATTATAGCACTCCAAAGTAATGTGCAGAACATATTAGTGTATTATAAAGCTTCACATCAAATGGATATTTTATGTATATACTGTAAGACATTTTAGGACATTTGTTTTATCCTTTTATTCTTAAAATATCTCTTTTTCCTCTTCACTTTCATTCAGCTATGTATTTTTCTTATTTTTACAGTATTGACAGTATTTTATATCCAAAACCAGAGGATGATGTTGCATTAGGATATTATTACACATAAATGGAAAATTTCATATCTCACCAATAAAAATTCCATAAAACCATCTGGAAAAAAAATATATAGACAAATATACTGCAGGCCATCTGATATAAAATGTATAATTGTGTACACTTATTGTAAAACATTGGGAGTTGGCACTCACATGTACCAGAGACTTGCTCACCCACGTATCCTGGGCTTTCTCAGGCGTCCTCTCTATGCTGCTTGGTTACCTATTTACAGCTGTAGCTCCGCTTCCACTCACTCCTGATTGGCGGAGCTCACAAACCAAATCATAGGAAACTCATATAGTATGTATCTTTTGTCCCACAGTTGGTGTGACTGACCGCCTGGCACCCCGATTGATAAACTTATTTATAGGCATTATCCATTAAATTACAGAATAATTATTTTTTAGTTTTATATGCCTACATTTTATGTACTGAATAATCTCATATACAATATACAATATAATTGAAACTTTGTTTTATTTTTCATGTTTCCCTATTGCCAATATATACTTCATTATGAAATTGGACTCAAAATCATGTTGAAGCCATTTATCATTGGAACTGGTAATATGGCCACCTCCATCACCTAGTATGAGTTTTACTAAGATAGCCATTGTTTGATATTAACCTCATTGGCTATTCTTTAAAACTCAAGGACAGGATTGGAGACGCATCAAATCAAACAATGTGATTGGACGTCTCCTAAACTGAATGCTGCTTAGAGATTCGCCAAACCCAATGAAAGTAGACTTCTCAAGGAAACTTTGGAAGGGCATTTAAGGTGATTTGTTTCTTTCATGCATCTTGCATGCACCTTGATGAAGGTTGAAATGCATTGTGCCTGTGTGTATATTGATGCTTTTTAAATAAATTTGCTATACTTAAATTTTACCACCTACTATCTGTGTCTCACCTCGTAACCGACATTGGAATATTGAGGAATTCAGAAGACCATTACGGATGGGAAGAGTGATCACTTCCACAAATTGATGGTTGATTGAGATACTGCCAACTCACTACTATCAAATAGAGAAGATATTGCTGGCTCCCTAAATAGTGAGTGTAACCAGAATACATGTACACTGTCCCTTTAATAAAGTGTGTAAACCAATGGTGCAGAAAAATTGAAACCAATATGTTTAATTGCATCAAACAAAACAGTGCAATTCGTGTGTAAAGTGCTCACAAGACACATCATTGAGTAACTACATTCAATGAATATGTAAAAAACAAACAAAAAAAAACATATAGTGTAATACTGTAAGTATAAAAGTGAATATCCACTCACAAACATAGAGCAGGTGAAGACTGCTTTAAAATGGTGCTTCCACTTATATAGATTCAGC